CAAGAGTTCTTTTTGAGAATTAAGAGAGCATAAGAGAGACTGAATTAAACTTGAAAAATCCTTATGGTTTGATAAGAACATCGTATAGAGGATATGTTTAACATCTAGAGAGAGAAAGCTCTTTAAATCTTCTTCTTCTATTTCTTTGTAATTCTGAATTTGGAGAGATTGTTTCTGCTATGGTTGTTCAATTGGAGTGATCCTAAGGTTAGGTTCAGCGTGATTTCATGAAGATCACAGGTCTTGTAAAATTTCAATTGTATTAGTTCAAGGGGAGTGATCCTAGGGTTAGGTTGAGCATGATATAGTGAAGATCACTGGTCTTATAAAATTCCTCTTGTAAAATGATTTCTTCAAGCACCGATTGAAAGCTTGATGATACTGGAACGATCGGCCTCAGTCTGGATATAGCTCTCAGTGGTGGAGAGTGAACCAGGATACATCACGATATTATCTTCTCTTCCCTTATCTTTTAATTTATCGTTGCATAATACTCTCTTGCATGCTTTCTTGAAAAAGGGGTTTTTAATTTTCTTTGTTTAATTCGAAAAAATTTAAAACACAATTCACCCATATTGTGTTGTTATTTAGCCATTCTTTCTTTTGGATGTCGCTTCTTCTCTTTCGTTCTCTCTTGGATAAGGGATCTCCTTTCACATGCTGTTACATGATTTTTATGTGTGACTTCAATTTCCAGTTGTTGTTGTTTGTAACTTCAAATTATGCAGAGAAGTTCATTACAGTATTTCAAGAAGCAACAAATTTTTTGAAGGGGAAGGACAAGGAGGGCCTGAGTTTTATGATATAATATTTCATTAACTCCATTGGAATATGTGTTTTATACTTTGATAGTTTGATACTTTGATTAGATTGTATAATATTGGCTGACTTGTATATGTAATTGGTTTAATTATGTTAATTATATTTTGAATCTTTGATTATTTGTGGATTGATATTTTTGAATTTTTAATATAGAATATATATATATATATATATATATATATATATATATATATATATATATATTAATATATAAAACTGTGTCAGTAAACTGATCTTGTGACCCCTTGACCTCAGCCGAGTTGATGGCCGAGGCAAACATTGGTTTAAAACTTTAATCATGGACCTGCTCTGAACTCCGTATTAGTCCATATGAAACCTATGGAATTATCAGGTGGGTAATTTCCAAAAAAAAAGTCTATGCGCCTTTTTTTGGTTTCGTTAGTCTTTTTAGCTTGAGTTTAGTTAATTAGCTTAAGTATAAATTAATTAAATTAATTTACTATATATGAGGGAATTAACTACTAATTTATAACCTTTTCTTCAATATGCGCATGTGCATAAGCAATGGCGGACCTAGCTACGTGCCAGTGTCTGCCCTTGCAGACATAAACTTTTGAGAAAAAAATTACACCAAATCAAACAAAACACACACAGAGATATATCCCTTTACTTCATATATCCTTTTACTTCATATAAATACATCGATATTGGATAGATGGGGTGGCACGAGGAAGAAACCAGGTCTTGTCTTTATTTAGGTGACACATTTGACCATATTGTAAGTCATTAGCTTGTCCATTGAAGCTCGCATTTATCTTCCAAAATTGAGCAACCCTCGTAGCCAAAAGCTTCCAAATTCCAATCTTGGTCTACTATCATGTTGGCGCATTTTGCCTTGAATCTGCATTCTCGTTCCTCCACCAACGCTACCTTAATATAGTAGCTTCACAAACAAATGTTCTAGTGGTTTCTGTGGAGTACGCTGGCACCAGAACACCCTCTTCTTGCAGCATATGAAGATGGTTGGGATGCTTTCAAATGGGTGACATCCCATTCCATCAATAACCTGGTTGCTTCACCTACCCAATGATGGGTGATTGAGTGATTAACATTTCAATATAAATATAACAAGGGTTTTATTAATCTCCTTTTACATAAGATAAGTATCTTATGTTGTAGAGAGAAACTAGGTGGGTCCCACCATTACAAGAAAAAAGAAAAAGAAAAAGAAAAGTGAGATGCGGAAATCGAAGTGAGAGAAAATGAGATAAGCTACCTCATGTTAAAGGAGACTAATATTTCCCATATAACAAAACCTATCACTTTATATATTCTTTATTAAGTTGAATTTTTCTTTTCTTGTTTTTATTTTTTTAATAAATTTAAAAAGAATTAAATTTTTTTCCGAAGGCAATGCCATCTGTCACTAAATTTCCGGAAGCAATGCCACCGAATCCTGTCATTAAATGTACAGATATAAATAATATTTTCTGATCCACCAGTGTGAATAAGCCATATCAATGCTTCTCATCTTTCTCTCAAATCTCTTATTATGTTCCTAAACATAAATAATGCTTTTGGCACAAAAGAGCGAAATTAAACAAGTTGAGTGACTTCATCCCACATTGCTGTCCTGTGACAATGAAAGAGTGAGGATCATTTTATACTCCTTTAGACAAAGGAACATCGTATTGTATTTTTCGAAATCATAAGTTAATAAATAAGAAAAATATGTAACTTTCGTGGTATACAACTTTTATTACATAACTTATATTTTTTATGAGTTTGTAATTTCTATTGTTTAATATGTAAATTTTATTATTCAGTTTACCTTCAAATAATGGAACATCGTATTGTATTTTTGAAATCATAAGTTAATAAATAATAAAAATATGTAAATTTTGTGGCATACAACTTTTATTACATAACTCATTATTTTTATGAGTTTGTAATTTCTATTGTTTAATATGTAATTTTTATTTTTCAGTTTACCTTCAGATAAAGGAACATTGTATCGTATTTTTTGAAATCATAAGTTAATAAATAATAAAAATTTGTAACTTTTGTGGTATACAACTTTTATTACATAACCTATAATTTTTATGAGTTTGTAATTTCTATTGTTTAATATGTAATTTTTATTATTCAGTATATCCCGCAGCTGCCGCCGCAACCACTTTCAATGTCCTAGGATGGCAACTCAGCCTCAACTTCCAGACCTAATATAAAAGCCCACATTTTAGAAGATTCAAGAAGGGCTAATAGACAAGAGAAAAAAATTATAAAAAGATTCTTTAATTATACTATTCCTAGTGCTACAACAATAGATCAAGAACCAGATCCTGAATATTTTTAAGAGGCCCAAAAGTTCACTCCTGCCAGGTAACTTATCTATAAATAAAGGGTTAAGCTAACTAGGTACAGAAACCTTTGAGCCTTCTCTCTCTTAGCTGTCACTGTGCACACACCCCTCACCTTGGCTATGTCGCCTATTATGGTGCACAGTGCTTCAGTGATCTCTAATGTATCTCCCTCATAAATGTCCAAAAGAAAGTATTTAGATCCAACAGAAATATATCAATCATCAGATTGGACATTTCGATCCACGAGATAAAACATTGGCGCCGTCTGTGGAGAATCGAACCCAAAAACACCCAGCAAACACCAGCTAAGAATCAACCCAGACTTGGTCGAGGTGTACAAAAAATATCGTAAGTTTGACACACAACTGTATAGGATAAATGGGTGCCTCAAAATGAATGGACCTGAACATGATTGAGACTCTCTAAGAACGCTACAGCCCGAATCCTCAAATTGTCGGACTGGGGGCTCGTGGAAGTACGCAATTGTCAAAATGGAATAAGGAAAATAAACAATCTTCACAGGGCAAGACCACAACAAACCAATTTTGGAAGAAATGCTAGAAAGATAAAAGATTATAGCCTAACACGACCCAAGCAACCCAGTCCAGGGAAGCCAACCAAGACGTAAATGCTAGAAAGCATGAAGAACAAAAGCAACGAAACCCAGGCAACGCAGTCTAAAGAATGATCGGTCAGTGTCAAGTAGGACCTCAGCCAAAAAGGTTGAGGGAGGAATACCAGAGCAGCATCTTCAATACCTGGCTCACGAGATCTGACACAACAATTCAAAGGTCGAGTTAAAATTCAAATCAAAAAGCATAAAAGAAAGTCGCTTAGTGTGAACCAGGAAGTACCTGAATAACAGAATCTGGAGCGTGAATCAACAAGATTACATGGATTCTAGAAAAAGCCTCGCAACTCGAAAAGACAGGATTAAGACCTTGGTGAGGAGGTCAACAGAAAAACCCATCCACTTCTAATAAAGACCTCGGTTAGAAAATTTTGACTAGTGTGAAAAGCCAACATTGTAGACTTGAAAATGAGTCTAGACTCACTTAGCTAGTTCCAAACCAAAGAACCAAACACGGACCATTACATGATCTGGATCCCAACAGTGAAGTTCGACAAGTTTGATTTTGAACACGGACAGAGACAATAACTACAATTGTCAACCCAATTAAGTCGGCCAAGAAGAATTTCAATCCAGAGGAAAATTGTCAAAAAAAGAAGGCAAGTCCATCATCACAATCGCAACAACTATTACAATCTGACGGATTAGCGGAGGCAATTGTTATGGACCTAATATAAAAGCTCACATTCTAGAAAACTCAAGAATGATTAACAACCAAGAGAAAAATTAAGAATTTTTTTAATTATATTATTCCAGATGCAACGAACTGGACCTTAATATTTCTCTGAGATTTATAATATCACTCATGCTTTATAAATAAAGGAATTAGGCCTTTATACAAAAAAGAAAAAGAAAAAAGAATTAAGCCAATTGGGCAGAGATACTTTTGAATTCTCTCTTCTAGTATACACCTCGCACTTTTGCGCTTATTATAATGCAGAGTCAATGATCTGTAAGGACCTCTCTCGTACATACTCGAGAAGATCCAATGAAAACATACCAATAATCCTATTGGACATTTCCATCATCGAGATCGAACACCCTTCTTACCAGAACTCTTCCTCGCAGCACTCTCCTTGTGTTTCCTCTTTACCTCTTCCAAGTCCTACCTCACAGGCACAAGGTGCCCTCTCTTTCCCTCTCAACCCTCACCGATTCCTCAAAATCCCCGCCATGTCCCTCTCCGGATCATCATCATCATCCTCCAACATCAACAAGAATAACAACCGCCACAACTTCGCATCCCCACAGTCCCTCTCGAATGGCTCAAACCCCGTTTACCCTCCGATTCCTTTGCCTCGTGGGGCGTCAAGCCCGGCACAAAGAACGTCCACAACCTCTGGCTCGAGCTCGCCCAAGGCGAAACCTCTCTCGCCGATTCGACCCCTCCGGTTCGAACCGTTCAGGTCGTCACCGTTCGGGTCACCCGCAAAGACGGAAAATTCCTTGCGGAGTCGCACCAGGAGCTTTCGGACGGTAACGTGAGGAAGCGTGGTAGGTCCTTGTCGGAGAAGATGAAGCCCAATGAGGACCCGGAATCCGCCGCCGTGAGGGGCATCAGGGAAGAGCTTGGCTCCGTGATTGGTGGTGTCGGGTCGGAGCCCGAGACCGGTTTTGAGGTGGGTGACATCGTGACCATTGATCCCAATTCGTATGAGATGAGGGTGGACGAGCGCAATTCGGACTCGTATCCGGGTTTGCCCGGTTACTACGTTATGCATACCTTGAATGCCACTGTTGAGGGCTTGCCCGATGGTGATTTTTGCACGTACGAGGTCGATGAGTACGGCGATTTTGACGAGAAGAATGTTGCAGACCAGGCTCTCTCTGTCAAGAAGCATTATTGGTCATGGGTTGGTGCTGATTCTGTGACATTTTGATTTTATTATTATTATTTTTTTAATTTGGGGATATTGACACCAACAGTTTTTGTACTTGTAATATCATTTTGAGGTTTTGGGATAATAAGGTGGGACAATTATTGTTCAAACTTCAAAGTATATTGTTATATGGTTGTTATTAAACATCATGGTATGTGTGGATCAGTAGTTTTGACCATCTGCTTTGTGACCCCATTACTTTTTTAAAAAGTCAATTTATACGCAAGATTAGTGGCAATCTAGCTTATGCTTATTTCTGAAACTTTGATAATGCCTTTATTGGGACTTGGAAGCATCCTTGCTATTTGTGTAGGCATTTACTTAAGGAAGCATGAATATGGCATTCCTTGACTAGTACAAACTTACTGATTTTTGGAACTTACTAAGTGCAAATCGAAGATCAGCTTTGACAATTGTATGTTAACCTAGAGTTTCCACCCAAAAACTCGTTGTCTTATTAAGAATATGCCCCTTGTTGAGGTCCATTTGGTATTGCTTTTCAGTGTGCTATCTTGCATTTCTAATGAAACAAATGTTTTTGGTATTTAATTTTAAAAAAAAATTAACTCAGCCTTTTATCCAGAGCAATTTTGTCCACAAATTCCAGTTCTTTTTTGTAATTTGTTGCCCTTCTGAATTATTGATTCTTTGGCATCACTAACATATGGAACAATTCTTTGTTTTCTTACATGCTACGGTATGCGCTTCTTTCCCCCTTTCCTCTGTCTTCAGCATTGATTTTCTGATTTAATGTTTTCTGTGTTCTTTAAGCCACTTGCCCTGGTCTTCAACATTTATAGTTTCATATTATGATTATTATCTGTCAGTGGTGTGGTTCGCATGAGTCAGTCACATAGCCTTGGAATTGGAACTTCCCATCACGAAAGCTAAACTCAACTCTTGGTGGTTTAAGTAGCTTTTTACCTGCAGTTTAACACCCGCTTCAAATTGACTTGCTGTGTTAATATTTGAAATGTGTCTTAAGAGTTTTGTTTTCAGCTATTTTGACAATGCTGATAATGCCATACATGAAAACGTAAATCTGATGAATGAGGACTACTTTCTGTCATTGTTCTATTTCAATGGATCAGTTTAAAGCTAAATATGACATAGAGAATAAAATAGAAAGCAAATGGCACACACAAGATACTAGTGTTTATGTGGTCAACATACCTACCCCACTGGCAAAAACAGATAAAAAAATTTCACTAAAATGAAATAGAGTATAAGGTGTTATTTAGTACATGGATTTTTTTAGAAATAGTGAGAAAGTGGGGTGGGGACAGGGGCGAAGCTAGAGGGGGAGGCTAGCATGGGCGGCCGCATCTCTTCCCCATTAAAAAAATGAAAAAAAAAAAATTTAATGTTGTTGAAGGCTAAATGTGGTACTGTTGTTACGGTTAAATTTGCTTCTTCTGAAAGTTCTAATTTGATATCCAAGTTAAAATCTACCTCCACTTTATCAAACGTGTGTTATGTGTACCTTTTTTGCAATACCCTTTTTTTGCATTTTCCTTTTAATTTTCATTTGCATTATTGTATTTCTCTTTGTGTAGTGATTTGGTAAAGAGAAAATGAGTTTGTTCTAATTTAAAAAATTCATCTTTTGGGGCAACTTGGTTGCAGTATTTTTATATTTTAAAAAAAAATTATAGTTAAAAAAGCATTGTTTTAGTTAATGTTAACGTTGAATGAAGACACCTTTTTTTTTTAATTATTGTTTTAAACTACTTTTTAGGTCTATTGTTGGGTGAGGCTACATTAATGATTTTTAATTATTGTTTTAAACTACTTTTTAGGTCTATTATTATGTGAGGCTACATTAACGATTTTATATATCTCAAGACGTCCCCTCACACTAGAGCCCCTCACACGAGAGCCTCCTAGACTTGAAGGGTGAACAATGCACAAGACCACTTATCTGTGCGAAGAAAGAAATTTCTATGCGAAGAAAGAAATTTCACTAGAAAGAAAGTGGGAGACGATGAGGATCGAATCTGGTACACCAAGACTCTAATAAAATGTAAAGAACTAATTCAACCTAAAAGCTTAAGCTGTTGGGTGAGGCTACATTAATGATTTTATATATCTCAACAAATATTAATATTTTGGTAAGAAATTACCTAAAGGAGTTCCATAAAAGTACGAGGTCCATAGGTAGAGAAAATATTGATATTATGTAAGATAAAAATTTAATTTTCTCTCCCCTCCCTTCCAATCTTGGCTCCGTCGCTGGGTGGGAAAAATTATTTTCTCATGCTTAATAGGAGGATGAGTAAAAACAAATGTGGAAATTTTTTTTCCCATCATTTTGTTTAATACAGCGGATTTCCACTTCTAAATACCATCCAAACTATGGTTTTTTTTTTCCCATCGCGTGGGAAAGGATTTGCTCTTCGTTGCCTAGCTTATCACCTGCGTGAAGAGATCAATTTGCTCTTCAATATGGCCCTCCTTGTTAATCTTATTATTTGGGTTTATCCCCAAAAGCACCAAAACCATTACCACTGTAATCACCAATACTGCTACTTTGGCTCGATCCTCTTTCACCAAAAGCACCAAATTGACCAGAGCCAAAATCTCCAAAACCACCATAACGATCTGAACTACCAAATCCCCTTAAACTACCTGGGCGAGAATTTCCACCAGATATAGTTCCTGGTTGACGTGAACTAAAGTCACCAAAGGAACTAGAACGACCAGAGCTTGGTCCATCGTACCAACCCATTTCACCGGGAGAATTACCAGAAGGGCCAAATCGACCACCACTCATGCCACCAAACATGTCTTCTGATCCAATTTAACATCAATCTTTGGTAGCTGACAAAAATGAGATATCTCTGAGGGGAAATAAAGGCAAAGAAAAAAGGGAACCCGGAGAGAGAGAGATAAATCTGAGGTCAAATGAACGTCGAAAGAGATTCAATATTGAAAATCAAGGGTAATTTTTTAATTTCGGTCTGCATTCCAAACAATATTTTACAATTAACTAAAAATATAACATCAAAAAAATAACCTAATATTCACAGAAAAAATTTAGCTTATTAAACAACATTTTAGTAACATTTTCGATAATTTTTTTTTTTTTTCACCATATTCCAAAAAATTATGATCGCCCGATGAAAAAACCTTTTTCCTCTGCTAAACGCTGCCTAAAAATAGAATCTAAAACTCAAACCCCACGCTCTAATGCACACAATAATCCTCACAAGGATAACACACAAAATTGGGTACACAGAGGTTTTGTTTCACTCTCTTAATCTCCCACAATCTCTGATTCTGCGTTTGGGATGCTTTTAACAAATGAACCTACGGTTCTATTTTTAGTTGCTTTGTGGCGGTACAAAATTCTGAAAAACTCTGGAACTTGCTGCAACTGGAGCCTTCTTGAACAATCATGAATGACGGCATGTATATGCTTAGTGACGAAGGAAGCATGATCTTCGGTTTTCCAGATTTCAGAAGAAAGAACAGTTGGCCGACAATAGCTAATCAATTTCAAATTCCTTCATGAAGTTGCTTGAGAAAACAACTGGCCGACAATAAAGTTGCAGCTGGTCAACAATAGCTGGCCCACAAATTGACTTGCTGAAATAACACCCAATGCTTGAAAATACTGACTATTGGTGTTTGATTAATATACTTGAAGGTGTGGCATTGTGAAGTAACTATAGTCCGTGGATCAAACTGTGCATTGATGAGTACACTTTTCAACTACTTCTCATGTCCGTTTTGGGCTTTTGGCACATGTCTCTGCTATTCGTAAGTGGCAGATCTCTTAGTTGCGAAGCTTATGACTCTAAGCTTGTGTTTGGGAGTCACTATTTAGAGGGAAAGGGCTAGAAGGAGAATTACAAATAAATGTATAAGAAAAAGTAAGCTGTGTGAACTGAAAAATCAATATTGTTATACAAAAATTGTAAATGTCTTCCTTGGTTGCGAGTTTAAAAAAATGGGGATAAGAATAGAGAATTTTTGTAAAACCATCAGGGCATATTTGATGTATAGTATAAGATAAGGCTTGATAGTATAAGACTTGATTGTATAAGGTCTGATTGTATAAGACTTGATTAAATTTTAATATTATCCAATGTTTGACATGATATCATATAAGATAATGTATTGTATAAGATAATACTATTAAATGTTTGGTAATGTACTATATAATATGATATAGGATAAAAATAAATATTTTTGACAAAAACATCCTTTAATAAAATATTTGTATAATTCTTTAAAATATGTCATATATATATCAGTTTTTATAAAAATCTATCAATTAATATGTCCACAAAATATATTAATTTTTGTAAAAACAAAAATCTTTAATATTTTTAAAAAAATTCATGATTACTTTTATACGAGAAAAAGAATATTTTATTTAATTTTCTAAAAAAGAGAGGTTATGTCAGGTATTATAACGAGCACGTTATAGGCAGCACTATCGCACTTGGAATAGAACTCCATGAGATGGTTTGAGAGAAAGGTGTATGAGAAAATGTTCGGATGGAAGATTAGAGCATGAACAACCTTACTCGCTAATTTGCTTTATTGCATATACACCACTGCATTAGATTTGTCAAATTCGACTTGCTTTCCATCAAAATACCCTCGATTTTCGAACATCAGGGCTTAGTTTTTAAGCTTTTTACAAATTACAGAGAGACTAAAAAAAGGAGACAGCTGAATGGGGGAATAAGAAAGGGGGGTTTTACAGTGGAAAAAATAAGCAATAGGGTTACAGTGGGGTTATATATAATGGGGAACAAAAAAAGGGAAGGGATTAGATTAATACATCAATACCTTATCGGGGCTTATCCCACCCCCTTAAACATGATAAGCTTATACATCATTTTAATGTATTAAGAGGTATTGATGTATAAGCTTATACTACACGATAGTCACACTAAACAATTGAAAATGTCATAATGTATAATATAGACGTATACTATCCAGCCTTATATATCATACCAAACAGGCCCTCAACTCAAATATCCTTTTCTCCCTTAAAATTAGAGTTGCCCAAAGTGGGCGATTTGAGGGAGAGTTTTAACTCCCAAATAAGGGAAAGAGAATACCTTCCATTTTTTCTTTTCTTTACCTCACCCTAGGATGCATTTCATTATCTTCTCCTCCAAACTCTCAAACACACCTACCTGGCTTTGTTTGGGAGTTTAGAGGGGAAGGAAAAAAAGGAAATTCAAGGGAGATAAATGGGAAGGAAGGGAAGAAAAATGAATGGTATTCGCTTCCCTTGTTTGAGAATTAAAACCCTCCAATTGGAAGAATTTTAATTTTAAGAACAAGAAGAGTTTTGTAAAAATCCCTAAATCCTTTCCTTCACTTTCTTAAATTCACAAACAAGGAAGGATTAATAAAACTCTTCCTTTCCTTTCCTTTTCCTCTTAAAATTAACTCCCAAACAAGCCTTAAGTGTACACAAAAAAAAAAACTTATGACTCTAATTAATTTGAAGTTTCGCTGTGATCAATTTTAGTATTGGATATGTGGTTTTTACTCATGTACAAGTTGTCTTACTTAATGCATTTATCATTTTATATAGATGCAAACTTATAAACATATTCCTGAATGCCCTACTTACTTGAGCTTATTCGTTCCTTTTCAGCAGACATCTTTGGGCTTTTTTACCCTTATAACCTTTAATTAATAATTAATTACCAATTTGACCTTCATTTGAAACTAATTCGAAAATTTAACCCCTTCAGAAAACATAACACCAATCTGCCCCTGTTTGACCGTTGACCATGAAGCCTACCCGGGTACACTCCTCCCTACCCTGGTATTTTTTGAAATTTTTACCTACCCGGGTAGAGAGGGGTGTACCCGGGTAGAGTTCTTGAATCTGAAAAAATGGTTGAATTAGTTACCCGGGTAGGAAGGGTTGTACCCGGGTAAACATCAAGAGTAGGATTTTTATATAACCGAGATGCTAAAAAGTTTCTTTTTCCAATTCATATTCTCCTCGGATTTATATTTCTATCAGGTTAATGAAAACGCAAAAAATTGAAGCACCTTCTGATTACAGAAAACAAAATGAAATTAGTAAAAAATTAATACAACATTACCATGTAATTGTATCCCCTAGTTTCTCTAATCTTCCTCAACTCTTCATCGTTCTCATAATCATTTGGATTCAGCTTCCAGTATAAGAGTCCCAATCTTGCAAAACTCACCATTTTTCTGCAACGTCACAACTAAGTAAAACTATAGATAGATAGAGAGAGAGAGAGAGTAATGACCTGCTAATTGGTTGATGGAAACAAATTCATTAGGGCTGCCATGGTGAGGAAGCCTTGGATCTTCGTTGCTATCGTCCATGAACCATGCCTGTCACAGTTTTTTTCATTTATATAAAAACGCTACTCTGGATGTTTACCCGGGTACAACCCTTCTTACCCGGGTAACTAATTCAACCATTTTTCCAGATTCAAGAACTCTACCCGGGTACACCCCTCTCTACCCGGGTAGATAAAAAATTTCAAAAAATACCAGGGTAGGGAGGGGTGTACCCGGGTAGGCTTCATGGTCAACGGTCAAACAGGGGCAGATTGGTGTTATGTTTTCTGAAGGGGTTAAATTTTCGAATTAGTTTCAAATGAAGGTCAAATTGGTAATTAATTATTAATTAAAGGTTATAAGGGTCAAAAAGCCGACATCTTTGTATTGGTTAGTTTTAGAATGTAATTTTCCATAATTTCAAATTACTATTGTCTAGTGCTAACAATCACTATTGTAGTATAAGAATCAAAAGATTGAGATCGTTCAACCAAGAACAGTGAAATTAATTCCCTTTATCTATTCTATCCAAGTTTTCTTGAAATTCAAAGTATTTAATTCTTCAACTAAAAATTCAATTACTGACTAATTTCAATTTTGTCACACTAAGTATCTCAAGTATTTTTACAACAATTAACAATCAAGAAACAAGTACCAGAATTCTGAATATCATAAATTTCCCATTTTATTTTTGCAACCATGCTCTTTAACTGCTGTAACACATTTCTTGATGAAAGTTCACTTCTGTAGCACTTTTCTAGTGTTTTTCAAAACCCAGAATCAAATCAATTTAAATCAATCCCCTAAGCTTAAACCAATTCGTTTATGTCAAATTTCAACATTCACTTCAAATTATTCCAAATTTTTAGGGGTGTTCAAAATATCCAAAAGAACCAAACCAATCAATAACCAAACCGCTCCATATTTTAAAAATCAGTTATTTTTAAAAATCGGTTTCATATGAAACTGCATTTTATTTTATAAACTGATTATTTACTAAACCATAAAAATAATTGGTTCTCCATAACCAAACTGCTTTACAATTAAGGAACAAATAAGTATTATCTTTTATCATGCCTATTATATTAGTCAATTGACTCGAACTTCCAAACAATAAACTAGCAGAAAAAGTTTAAGCAGCTCAAATAGAAAAGCCTATATTGATGAAATACTTGAACAAGGTTCAAGAAATAATGGCTGATTTCGATGAAGTGCAAGTTACTTACATTCCTCGAGGGGAAAACAGCCAAGCTGATATCTTGTCTAAATTGGCAAGCACAAAAAATCCAGGCAACCACATAACTGTGGTATAACAAAGCATAACTGAGCCGAGTTGCATGATGATTATCACCTCGGCGAATGACTGGAGGCAACCCATAGTGGCATACCTTGAAAAAGGGACATTGCCAGAGGACCAACTGAAGTCTAGGAAGCTGGTCCGAGATGCGACACAATACACAATTGTGAATGATCAACTATTTAGAAAGG